TGTTCTGTTTGATGTCATGTTATTGTCTTTTGTCTTTGCTGAGGTTAATTTGCACAGAAGAATATAATATATTCTCTTTCTTTATAGTCCAGAACACGTTTTCTTCAGTATTGCTCCCTTTATGTGTCAACTACGTCATTGAAATGAATCCTTATTTGAAGTATTTGTTTCCTCCCTGTCAAACAAGGTCAAATATATGAAGTTTAATTAAGAATTATAGTTCTTCCTTAAAAAATGATCTATTGACAGTAGGTAGAATCTCCTTACCCCTCCAAAAGCCAAGACCAGACCAGTGATTTCACAAAGAGCATAAAGGATTTAGGAGAGGTTTCAAAAGAGATAGTTGGGTAGTTGTTAGGCAAGCAGGGAATTTGAACAGAGAAGGAACATTTTACTGCTCCTCACCATAACACATTAAATACAGATTTAGTAAAAAAAAATTCTTTCCAGTCTGGTTATCAGCTTTCCAAGAGAAAAAGCAAGAATAGGCCAAAAACTTTTGTCATGGAGTAAAAACTCTCCTGGACAGCATCGAGAGGAACGGGTGACAGACTGGAGAAGACATCTCCAGAACCATGGGCTGAAAAGCTTGGGTTCACCAAGACAGTCATAAATCACCTGCCAATGATTCTGCCCAGCCTTTGCCAGGCTGGTTTTGTTGTAACTATGGTACCAGACCAAAGTTCAACTTATTTTACATTTTTATTACCACTGCTGTTAGCTTAAAGTTTACCAGAGTGAGAAGGAGGAAACAACCTCATGAGAAGCAAGACGAAATAGAAGAAAATACCCTGAACCGGTGGGAAAAAACCCTCTCATCTGACAAAATGCCATCCACAAAGAAAACAGTCATGTTTGCCTCGGCTTTTTTAACCTGTGTTTGCTCTTTTGTGCTGATTTGCGTTGTGCTGGGGACCCAGCGCTGGATGAGCAGTGAGGTTCGTTTCTCCAGCACCAACTCCAGCGTCACGGTGAGCCTCACCTACGGGCTTTTCGTCGGTACCTGCGAACAGTTTGTTGATGCAGGACTTCAGGTTTCAGAGAAGGTTTTCCAAGGTGAGTGGTATTACACCTGGAAATGGATAGTGTCTTCTTGCTCGTGCAGGTGATGGATGTAGGAACCGCGTCTCATTCTTGTTTCGTCTGTGACTGTGATGCTTTAAGTGAAAATTAAGAATATCTGTAAATCAGTTTGGGGATTTAAGTAATATAAAAAATAATCTGCAGCGTTTTTAACCATTAACAACTTCTGCTGCTGGCAGGGGGGTTGGAACTAGATGATCTTTAAGGTCCCTTCCAACCCAAACCATTCTATGATTCTAATTACCTGTGATCTTAGCCTACACCTTGGAACAGAGAAAAATACAAAATAGGAACTTGATGTAAAATTTATTTTAATTTTCGCAAGCTTTCAGTGAGGAACAGAAAAGCAACATTAAATTACCAATTTATTAAAGGATTGCAAACCCAATTCACTTTCCAGGATTATTTTGATTTTATTTTATTAAGTTAAATCAATTGGTTGATTAAAACATTTTGCCAGCTGCTACCAAATTAACATCATTTTTATAGAAGAAGGTTTTATGAGGCTGATGGAGGGAAAAGAACAAAACAGGTAAAATAATAATTTAGATAGTTATGGTGTTTCTGCCTGTGCTGTACCTGCACATTAATGACAATATTCTGTTTATTTCTTCCTTTGAAGCCACACCATTCCATTTTTAAGTGCTATTTTCAAACTCAACCATTTGGATAGTATTTTCAAGCCTTATGCTTGCTTATGTTTGGGGTTTTTTTTTTTTTGTTGTTTGGGGGGTTTTTTGTTGTTGTTGTTTTTCTTGGGGTTTTTTTTTGGTTTTGGGGTTGTTTTTTTTTTTAATACTGGACTATGAAGTATGGATTATAAAATAACTTGTCATCTTTTATAAGGCCCTTCTTCCCCCACCCAGTATGAGGTTTTCATGTGACACCTTGTCATCGTGACTTCCCAAAAAAAACTCTGAGTTGAACTTTGGAAACAAGGTTATCATAATAACATTTCAGAATGTAATTCAAATTAAACTATATATTGTGATATCCAACAGATCTTACTTTTTGTGCATCTGCAGTACTTGGCATTTATCATAGAATCATAGAATGGTTTGGGTTGGAAGGGACCTTAAAGATCATCTAGTTATCCTTAATTTTAGAATTATTACAGCAAAAAAAAAAAAAAAAAAAAAAAAAAAAAAAAAAGGTAAAAAAATGGTTAAATAATTAAGGAGGACAGAAAAACTGAGAGAAAAGGGAGAAGAGATGCTACATGGGAATAAAACAAAGTTTAAAAGCAAGGGGAAGAGCAGAAGGGGTTTTACCTAGAGCAGTCTCAGAGAAAGTTAAGACAAGCATGAAAAATCCTAATATGAAAGCAAAACATGAGCAAAAGCAAACCAGAAACAAGAAATTACGCATACCAAGGACAAACCACAGGCTCAGTACTGATTTCACATGGTTCAGCAAAGATTTACTGAACTCTATGCACGAGTAGCTCTACTGATGTGAAGAAAAGCATTCACAAAGCCCAAAGGTAGATAAGCCTGAAAGCTGTTGCAAGGGTCAAGGATTTGCATTGATTTTATGCTTCTTGTGTAAAAGTCCACAGCAATAATGCTGATATACATGTGTGAAAATGGAAATAAAAAAAATCATCAAAAGAAACCTAGCAAAAAATTTGGAAGAGTGGGTCAAACAATTTTGAAACATGACATGTACTTTAAGAGCTTTCTTGGAACGCTGTTGTACAATGTCTCATCACAGAGAAGCCACCAAGGCAGAGCACCAAGGTGGCACCAAGCCACCAAGGAGCCTCCAGATGTTTCCAATCCATTAGCTCTTTCCCACCTTGATTTACTACAGAAATTGTATCAAATTGTACAAACAGGCACCCAAATTACTACCCTGGCAAAGCCCTACCACGCAAACCAGTTCCCAGTAGAACGATTATATTGGTATGAGAAACCTGAACACAGCAGTGCTCCCAGCAAAGCACAGAATTACACAACAACTACAAAATCCTACGTCATTCTAAGCAGTTTATTTACACTCATATCAGAAAAATCAAAGCAATTTTTATAAGAGTAGATATAAATTTATAAAAATAGTTTATATATGATTATATCTCCCCATGCCAGTTGGCTCAAGCCCCAAACCTTGCACCATGCAGGCAGATTCTTGTTGATTTTAATAGGGCTTGGTGTGAAACTGGGAGTCCACCCATGGAGAGCTGACTGCAGGGCAGGAACCCAGGGCAGGTGTCTTGTCTTTGCACAGCAGCTAACACAGCCCCATCCCAGGGCCTGAGTGCTACCAACATAGGGATTTTAGTTCCAATTAATGATGAGCAGTCACAGAACACTTGCATCAGTAAAGGATTTCAGTTCTTAGCATGGTCTACGTGCATTTTGTTGTCGCTGGTGGTGATTTCCCCCCTACCAGTTGTAGTTTTTTGTGCTTATCATTTACAAAATGTCACAGAATCCCAGAATTGCCTCGATTGGAAAAGCCCTTTAAGATCATCAAGTCCAACCATGAACCAGACACTGACAAGTCCCCTATGACTAACCCATGTCCCTCAGCACTGTGTCTACACGACTCTTCAATCCCTCCAGTGATGGGGACTCCACCACTGCCCTGGGCAACCCCTTCCAATGCCTCAGAACTCTTTCAGTCATCTCAGTTCTCACATTTAAGCCATTTAGGGATGAACAAAGTGAGGGAACTCCAGGAGTTACTAGTTGCCTTCAACAGCTGCTGAAAGTCATGCTTGACGAATAGTCTGAATACAGATTTGCCCACATCCCTCGTGAGTTCAGTTGGGCATATATCCAAGATGAAATTAACTGATTTAAAATTAATTCTTAGGCTCTATACCAGGTATGATTGTCATATTTTATATTAAGCATGATTCTATACATTCTTGAAATATAAATACTTGACAGATTTACATATATACTATTTTTTAAACTTAAATAATCGGGTTCTCCTAAGACAGTAGCTGCCTTTTGTTCGACCATATCCTAAAGTAAATGGATTGTCTGTTCTATGGAGAAATGAAATGCTGTGGTTTCATTTCAGACAACAGTAAATAGAGTTATAAGCATCCTTTTAAATCACAGCCTGATCTGTTCCTCAGCAGGTGTAGCATGGCTGAGGTCTCTGCTGTGAACCCCAAGTGTGTTTCTCAAATGGTATTTACATATTTGGGTGTGAGAAAAGGAGAATGGAAATCACGAAAGAGTAAATTAAAGATGAAAGCTTGGGGATACAGAGTACTCGTTCACAACAGCCTGGGTTGGCTTTTAGTAATCATAGAATCAGGGACAGGTCTAGGTTGGAAGGGACCTTAAAGCTCATCCAGTTCCACCCCCCTGCCATCAGCAGGGACCCCTTCCACTAGACCAGGTTGCTCAAAGCCTCATCCAGCCTGGCCTTCAACACTTCCAGGGAGGAGCAGCCACAGCTTCTCTGGCCAACCTGGGACACTGGCTCACCACCCTCACAGTGAAGAATTTCTTCCTCACATCTCATCTCCATCTCTCCTCTGCCACTTTCAAGCCATCACCCCTTGTTCTCTCACTCCCTGCCCTTGGCCAAAGTCCCTCCCCAGCCTTCCTGGAGCCCCTTCAGGTACGGGGAGGCCACTAGAAGGTCTCCCTGGAGCCTTCTCTTCTCCAGGCTGAACAGCCCCAGCTCTCTCAGCCTGTCCTCACAGCAGAGCTGCTCCAGCCCTCACATCATCCTCGTGGCCTCCTCTGCACTGGCTCCAGTAGGTCCATGTCCTTGTGCTGTTGGTGGCCCCAGCACTGGAGGCAGCACTGCAGGTGGGGTGTCAGGAGAGCGGAGCAGAGGGGCAGAATCCCCTCCCTCCACCTGCTGCCCACGCTGCTCTGGGTGCAGCCCAGGACACGGTTATTGGCCTCTGTGCTGCCAGCGCACGTTGCCGGCTCATGTTCAGCTTCTCATCCCCCAGCACCCCCAAGTGCTTCTCCTCAGGGCTGGCGTCAAGGTTTCCATGAGTGTACAGAGCATGAACTGCCTGCTCGGGGTAGCCTCTCTGACAGGATGCCATGAACAACCTTAACAGAGCAATAAATCAATACGGCTACTTCAGAGGTGCTGAGGATCATAGAATGGTTTGGGTTGGAAGGGACCTTGAGCAGAATGATCTGGCAGAATGCAGAAGTTACTTAATAAGTTCAGTCTTTAGAGTCTTCAGTGACTGTTTTAATGATTTGGCTGAGAACAGAACAACCTCTCTCTCTCTCTGACAGTCTGCAAAGAACTTGTTTACAGCTTTGCTTGTTTCCAGGTCAAACGTAAAAATTGTGAGCAAGGTGCAGGAAGAGGCACACCCAGACAATCCTGTAAAGTCAGGATTTGGCTGACTTCTGGCAACCAGCAAGGCCAGCAGCACACGAGGAAGTCTTTGGAATTTGTTATAACAGGGAGGAATCCATTAACTTTCTAACTTTTGAAATAGGTGACAAATGCTTGAAGATTGGTGGAACTTCATTAATGTCATCAATAGTTTCCAGGTGTGCTATGGGATCTCCTGACAAGCAGAAAGCTAGGTTGAACTTTGGTTTTGGGTTTTTTTGTTTGTTTGTTTGTTTTTCCTAAATGTACAATTTATTGTGTCATAAGTGATCAGAGACCTCATAAAACCTGCCAGATGACCACTGCTTAGAAAAGATCTCCAGGCTGGCAGCTGGACATCAGTCACAGTCAGGTCAGTAAAAGTTTGGGAAATTCAATTTGAGCATACAAGAGTTAAAGAGTAAAAAAACCAAGATAGTGGAAGCTAAGGAGAGAGCTTGCAGAGGCAAAACCCTCTGCTTTCATTGTGGAATTAGGTTATTTTACACTCTTGCAGTGTAAAATATTTTTATTTTTACACTTACTTGCAGAGGTTACCCAGCTGTGGGTTATTCTCAGTTCCATTTGAGTAGATCAGCTCCTATCAATTCCTTCCATTTGCACAGACTGCTTCATTTAGGAAAAAAAAAAGATCTGCCACTACAAGAACAGCATTTTATTCCAAACCTTTAGTCTTGTGCTGTTGGTGCAGGGATGCTTCCACCAGTGGAGTCTGACACAATTATCTCCCCTAAACCACGGATCACTCCCAGAGATAAACAAGCTCAATTAGGGGTTGCAATAGGTGGAGCCAGTCAATTCTGGAGATGTTCCAAATCATAAAATTAAGTGAGGTTGCTAGAGAGAAATTACACCAACCTGTCTGATTCAGCACCAGACTTATTTCCTGCAGTAGGCAAAGCCCAAGCAGTGAGGCTGCTTCAGCCTGAGTGCTGGGTACGGCCAGTGTGTGCTCACTTCCATTTCAGTGAGTGATGCCTCCTGAATGCCTGTCCTTCCTATTCTTCTAGGAGAACTGCTTAAATTTACATCTGATTTCCATAACACATCCTTACCTGCCCTTTCCTCCAACAGAAATTAACTTCTCCCAGGAATATTATATAAAATGAGAAAGAAGCTCTCCATTTATTTCCAATACCTCTTCTTTTCGTTATGTGTTTATTTTCTTTTTATGGGCTTTTTACTATTTTTTTTCCTGCTTAGATTTCTCCAATTTATGCACTGAGTACTCTGCCATAATAGCTTTGTATTAGAAGTGGCATAGAAAGGAAGTTTTCCTGCAGATGCCTGTCTATCAACAACACATATTTGAACAGAGCTTGAAAACATTCTTATCCATTTGTTATAGGGAATGTTACAGTTGCCTTTTCAATATTGAAAAGAGGAAAAATAATATATTTTAACACAGCTATACTGCAGTTACACTTGGAGTATATTGCACTCACATTTGTATCTCTCCTTACCAGCAAGATATCAAAAAACTAACAAATACAACCCAATAAAATTGATTACAGTCCTGGAGGAGTTGGCTGTATCCAGCCACGCATATAGCTACAGAAACTACACCAGACAACAAACTACGTGTATCAGTTGGAGCAAAAAGAGGTGGCAGGATGCTTGATGTGACAATGCATGTCTTCTTGACATGTGGCCTGAGGAGTGGAGACCCTGAGAGCCCAAGGACAGGGCTAAACTGGTAGCTTGGAGCTCGCATTCATCCTCTTGGCATGTCCAGGGCCACCAGCACTCTACATGCCCAGTCCTCCTGGTGAAAACAAAGCAGGAGATGCTCCTTTCTTTTAAAAGAAGGGAGCAAGTGCTGTCTCCATCTCCACCAGTTTGGTTTTTTTTCTGCAGGATGTGGCAAGAAGCAGATCTAACCAGGGTATGAACACCAACCCAACCATGCCTCATCTCTCCATGAATGACCGTGTTCAGTTACATTTGTCCTGCAAATGCATTTGACCCACCCATGCTAATGGCTTTACTGGACTTTTAGAAGTTGTTCCTCTTATCAGATTTCTTTTTTATAAATATTCCATATTATACTATATAAATAATAAATATTTATATAAAGGGGGCTGCTGTTCTGTTAAAAGGGAATAATCTACAATTGGAGTCAAGTTTTAAAGCGGGCATCTGTAGAAGTTGCCAGACATCTCAAGAACGATGGGCAGAGTAAAACCTACTTTTCTGATCTGATTTAGGCATAAAATTTCTGTCTGGCCTTGTCAAGAGGAAATATTTACAGAAATATTAAGGAAGAGAAGTTTATTGCCCAAGCTGATGTCCAGGAAGTTTGTGTGCCTGCAGGATTAGCAGACATCCCTACTGTTCCTTCACCCCATTTTGGATTTGAGTTCATGTGCTGTATCCAAACCTACCATTCCTTCCACATTCTGATCCTTGCATATCAGCCAAATCTCTGGTTAATAGCTTTTAATTAGAACCATGTCAATAAGTGATAAGGTGGTCTGAGCCCACCGGACTGTGTTGGGAAGGTTGATGATCAATGCTGAGCCGCTGTATTTCAGTTGCAGATAACCTGAGCAGCACCGAGGCAAAAAGCACAATCACTGCAATTATTGTCATTCTGGTTCTGAGTTTACTGAGCTCCCTCCTGAGTTCTGGATTTACCTGCACTAATGCTGTCAGCAATCCCTACCAGACGTTTCTGGGACCCATCGGAGTCTACACCTGGAATTCCTTATGCGGTGAGTACCACGTCCCATGCTGACCACTCTCTGCCCACCATGGGAATAAATACTGTATTCTCATCCGTTCCAAGATTAAGAAATATATCAATATAAAAGGAAACACTTGGAAAAGTAATCTCTTCTCTTGGGTTTGGTGGTGCATTACAAAGAGTGTGGCCAGCAGGTCGAGGGAGGTTCTCCTCCTTTGCTCTGCCCTGGTGAGGCCACACATCTGGAGTGTTGTGTCCAGTTCTGGGCTCCCCAGGTCAAGAGAGACAGGGATCTTCTGGAGAGAGTCCAGTACAGGACCACAAAGGTGATGAGGGGCCTGGAACATCTCCCATATGAGGAGAGGCTGAGAGAGCTGGGACTGTTCAGCCTGGAGAAGAGCAGCCTGAGAGGGGATCTGATCAATGTCTATAAATA